GCCAAGAATTTAGTACAGGTCTCCTGAGTGAGGGGAACCCAATCACTTGAGCTCTATTGCTGCCTTTCAGGATCTATATTAGCAGGTAACTGGACTCAGGTGCTAGAATCAGGGACTGTACCCAGAGACGACTCCCAAAACAGGATGCAGTCTTCCCAGCCAGTGTCCTAACTGCCAGACCAAATGTCCTGTCTCCCCTCTCCCCCTAGGTTATTAACGTTTTTTCCAGGATAAAGTGTCAATAAGAGGAAAATGAAATTAACACATATTAATATGAATTCATATATTGCAGGCACAGGCACTGACCTATGTTTGTCTCAATTACTCTTCATGGTACACACCACTATATAGTTTACAAATAAAAATGGGGCACAGAAAAAGTCAAAGATCTTTGCTAAATCCATACATCTACTACGTGGGAAAGCCAACACACAGCTGGTGAGTGGTAGAACTGGCACATGAGTAATCTGATTCTAGAACCTTAGCTCCTCACCACCATGGGACAGCATCTCATACTCATGAGGAAAGCACATATAAAGTTGCTTGATGAGGATTTGCTTCAGTTACATTTTACTATAGTACCATTCATAAAATTAGAAGTGCTCTAGTTGCAAAGTTAGTCTGGATAAACTGAAAAGCATTAGTATTATTAAACATTACAGAGTCTTGAGATCTATAAAACCTGAAGATTTAGAAAATTTACATTGTGAAGACAGATTTCATATACATCACAAGAGAAAATAGTCTTATACTCATGACTAATAGTAAAGCAAAAATATCTCATGTGATTTGGTTTTCAGAAATGACTTGAAAATATTTAAATTCAATCTGTTCTAGTTTATTTAACATTTATTTATACTACTATAATTAATAGTACCTTTGGCAACTTTTGAGGTGATCATTATGAAATTTGGTATAATTATGAGGATTATACCTTCAACAACTGTAGCACAAATTTACAATAACCTTAATTCTGTCAGATAAGAGAAAGGATGACAACCACAGAGGATAAAATTTCAAAGTATTTTTTAAATTACTTGTTTATTTTTATTTGAATGCAGAGAGGGAACGAGCGAGACAGAAATAGAGATCTCCCATCTGCTGTTTTACTCCCCAGATAGCAGGGGCTCAGCTAGGTTAATGGCAGGAGGCAGGAACTCAATCAGGGTCACCCACATGGGTGATAGGAACCCAACAACATGAGCCACCACCTGGTGCCTCCCTGAATGAGCATTAGTAGGAAGTTGGAATTGGAAGCAGAGTCAGGCCTTGAAACCAGGCACTCCAGTATGGGCTGTGGGCATCCCAAACAGCTTCTCAACCACTGTACCAAATGCACAGGAACATTGCTATTCTTTCATCTCTGGTGTTCTGATTAACCTTTCTTACTCGCCACAGTGCAACTTTAATTAACATGCATCCTTTCATATTGAAATGTTTGAAATTTAGATTCTATGAATCCTAAATTCATTATGATTCATAGTCTGAGCCAAAGGTTACGTTTGGCGTAAGTACAGAGAGAGTAACAGACTTAGCTAAACAATTTGACCCATACCCTACCAACATCTGCGGAGTTTTTGTTACCTAATTTCAAAAATCCATGTGCTTTCTCCATTTACAAAGCTGTGAAGTGGTAGAAAGCTTTTTCCCTCTGACAAAGCACTGTACCGGCAGTAACATGTTTATAAACAAAGCAGCTTCATGCCAGTTAACCAAGATTCTTCAGCTTCCCTTTGTCAAGGATCTTTGAAACTCCAAAGACTTGCCCAGGTCCATGTGGAACTAACTACAATTTCCTCTGTGGTTCTAAGTACCAAAACTGAGTTTTACAGAACTATTTTCTGTACTATTCATTTTATTTGTCTCATGTGCTCTACACTAGAAGTTCTGTTCATATGTATCAATTTACTAGTAAAAGGCTCCTGTTCAACAGATAAATCAATTTGTCTTCTTGTCTGTCCCTGGCTGAAAAAGCCCAGGGTGGGAACTTCTCTACCCTAATCCTGTCCATGTGTTCACCATATTCCATGGCCACCACGTGTTCTGAGCTTTTCATCTCCCATGGTCGATGTGGCCATTTAACTCTTCCAAAAACTTACATAATGTTAAACCTTAGAACACTTACAATTTTTCTGGAACATGTACCCTCCCACTAATAATAATCTTCTTCCTCCCTCCCCTACTTCTTCCCTCCCTTTCTCTCTTCTTTCCTTCCTCCCCTTTTCCATTTCTTTCTTTCTTTCTTTCTTTTTCTTTCTTTCTTTCTTCCTTTCTTTCTTTCTTTTCTTTTCTCTCTTTCTCTCTTTCTCTCTTTCTCTCTTTCTCTCTTTCTTGTAAGCTCATGGTTTATTTCACTTGAATAAAGTCTCCAACTTGTTTCACAATTAAAATTTGGGATTGATTAAGGGAAGTGGTAAAGTTTGAATATTCTGGTAGGAAATTCAGATTTCATTTTACAAACCATGGGAAATCATTGAATCTTTGTTGTTTTAACTGTGAAATGATCAAAGTTATGTTTTAGGAATATTAATCTGAGTCATGTTTTGGATAGATTACAGGCAGGAGAGAACATGATCAAGAAAGCCTACTACTGCTGTAGGGTAGGTTGGGCGAGCAAGAAATAAAATCCTGAAGTAGTAATGGGAGTGAATAGGAAGGAAACTATCATCAATATAATTAGTTGGACTTGGCAACTGAATATTGGTGAGAAAGAAGAAAATGCCAAAGGTAGCAGGTTTTTGGTTGCTTCTTGTAAACTTCTAATTTTAATACTATTATAAAAATATGAAATAGAAGAAGACTCTCCATTCTGTGTTTAGAATGCTAATGAAATATCCATGATGAGGTATTTAGCCAGGCAATGGAAACACAGAAGCCATGTTATAAGTTTTGAAAGTCTCTTTACTGATGGTCTATAAAAATGAATGGGATTTCTATGTGAGATGATGGGGTATATAAAAAAATGAGGTGCAGAGGATTTTTGAAAGAAAATATATTTTATTTTTAAGAAAATGTATTTTATTTATTTGAAAGGCAGAGTTACAGAGAGAAAGAGATCCTCCATCTGCTGGTTCACTCCCCCAAATGGCCACATCACATTGGCCAGGGCTGGGCCAGGCTAAAGCCAGAAGCCAAGAGCTCCATCCATGGCAGGGGTCCATTAGTAGGGAGGTGGGTCATAAGTGGAGCAACTGGTTCTCACACCAGCATTCATGAGAGTTGCTGGCCCTTCGGGTGGCTACCCAAACCCCTATGCCACAATGCCAGCCTCTGCATAGGATTTTAAAATGTACTCACTGAAGAAAAAAAGATTGAAGAAAGAAAGTATGTAAGTGATGAACAATAAAGGAGTGTGAGGGGATTTATCAAGAGTACACAAAGAAAGCCAAGGAGGAGAGTTTCAGGCAAAAAGGTTATCTACTTCAGGTTCTTTGAATTTCTTGAACGTGCATGCAGATTAATGGTTTTCATCAAATTTGGTAAGTTTTCAGTAATTTTATTTATTTATTTATTGAAAGAGTTATAGAGAGGGAGACACAGAGAGAGATCTTCCATTAGCCAGTTCACTCCCCAGATGGCTGGGGCAGAGCCAGAAGCTTCCTCCAGGTCTCCAGGTGCAGAGGCCTAAGCACTTGGGCCATCTTCCACTGCTTTCCCAGCCATATCCGCAGGGAGCTGGATTGGAAGTGGGGCAGCCGGGACACCAAACGGTGCCCATATGGTATTTTTGTGTAAGGTGTAAGGCAGGGGTCTTCTTTCTTCTGCATACAGAGGTACAGTTCACCCAGCACCATTTGTTGAAGAAACTGTCCTTGCTCCAGGGGTTGATTTTAGCTTATTTGTCAAAGATTAGTTGGTTGCAGATGACTGGATTTATTTCTGGGGATTCTATTCTTCTTCATTGGTCTACATTATCTATCTATCTATCTATCTATCTACCTACCTACCTACCTATCTATCTATTTTGCCAGTACCAGGATGTTTGGATTATAACTGCCCTGCAGTATGTCTTGAAATCTGGTATTTGAGATGCCTCTGGCTTTGTTTTTGTCATATAAGATTGCTTTTTGGCTTTTTGACTCATTGTTGTCATACTTCAGCAAGTACCTTCTGACTCCCAGAGTGTGCAACAACAGGAAGACAAAACCAGGAATGGAGCCAGGACTCAAACCAGGCACTCAGATATGCAACACAGGCATCTCAATCAAGGCCTTTACCAGTAGGTCAAACATCTGCCCCTAATTCTTTAAATATGGTTTATTTTAGTTCTTTAAAGAGCTTCTTTTAAAAATTGTTGCTTTGTAGCTTTTGTCTGCAAAATCCAAAATTTGGGGGCAACCAGAGATTGTTTCTATTGAATGTTTTTTCCTATTTCTTTGCAAAACTCATTAAAAGTTAGACATATTAGATAATGCACTGAGCTGGATTCTAATTTTATTTCTTATATTTCAAGGGTTATTATTGTTGCCATTTTTTGTTTGTTCAGTAACTTCCTAGAGAAAAATTGTGAATTTTTTTATCCTCTGCCATTTTCACATGCTGATGTTTCTGCTTAGCTAACAAATAATATATAATGAGAATATAAGCATATATAAGCATGAACATAAATACCAAGGTATAATGTGTATATATCTGTATATCTGTATTAAATCTGCACATACACACACACACAAAATCAACAGCCTAGCTTCTTATTTCCCGATGTGTACTTGACTTAGTAATTGGACAAACACGTTGAGCCAGTAAGACTTCTGTCTTCTGCCAATGAATCTCTGTGTGAGTAGGGGAGTTCACTCAAAGTTCAGGCTTTTTTCAAGTCTGCTCTAATTCCAGCTTTTGCTTTCCACTGGGCATTTTTGTATCTCTCCTGTACATGTACACAGTTCCAGGGTTGGCCAGGAGTGAATGATGAGCTTTGCCGTTCTCCAGGATCCACACATATACTTAGCCAGAAATATTCCCCAACCATGACTACTACCACAGACTAGTAGAGTTGTTGGCCTTGCCTGTGCATCCACCTCAGAGATCATACCTTCCATCAAAAATGACTTTGGGAGTTGTCTTCCACCACTCCAAATTAAGTGAATCCCATTGACCATGACAGAGAGCTGCCAGGCCTTGCAACCAGCCTCGGAAAACACTCCTTCCTGGGGAGGGAATGGGGGAAGAGGATGCAGTGTGTGAGTAGCTTCAGGACAGAAGGTCACAGATTCTCATTATTCTTACCAAAATTTTAGCAGTTTTTGAAGCCTTTATAATTCTCAGATTTGGTTGATTTTAAGAGTGTTTTTGTTATTTTATCCGGATTTATAGTTGTTTTTAGAGAAAGAATTTGTCCATCTCTTCACGTAGCCAGAGACCTATCTATTATCTTAAACTGATATATTGCACATTAATTTTGTTTCATGTTTTTATGCATAATATTTTTTAAAGATTTATTTATTTATTTGAAAGTTGGAGCTACACAGAGAAAGGAGAGGCAGAGAGAGAGAGAGAGAGAGAGAGAGAGAGAGAGAGAGTCTTCCATCCGATGGTTCACTCCCCAGATGGCCGCAATGGCCAGAGCTGCGCCAATCTGAAGCCAGGATCCAGGAGCTTCTTCCCGGTCTCCCACACTGGTGCAGGAGCCCAAGGACTTGGGCCATCTTCTATTGCTTTCCCAGGCCATAGCAGAGAGCTGGACCCCATATGGGATGCCAGTGCTTTAAGCTGCTGCGCCACAGCACCGACCTCCCATATGCATAATATTTTTAAAAAGTGTCCAAACCTATTTTTCCCTTTTATAGTATGTAGAAATCTCTAATCCTGTAATTTTAAGAAACAAATTAGCACAAATCTAAGTTTCACTTTCAAGTTTTATACTTTTTCTCTATTTCAAACTGATTTATATCATAAAAGAATGGGATAGTAAGAAAATTCAAAAGAAATCAGGCCATTCCTTATATTTTAGTAAAACTGTACAAGAGGATAGGGTGAGGCATTGTATAAAAATCAATGTAGTATGGATTTGTATTATTCTAGGATTTACTTACTTGTTCACAAAGTGAAAATATTCTATTCCTTAACTTCTATGGCAATAAACTCTTTTTAAAAATGAGTGGCTACATCAGAATTCAGTATTCAGACTAAAGAGCTCATATCTCTCCTTTTTAGATCACAAAATCTTATTCTAGCAAATTGTGGGTAAATCAATCTATCAATTTAGAATTTGCAGGATCATGAAATTGTACACCCCCCCCCCCCTTTTTGTTTCAGGGAAAAGTATTAAACAGGACCACGATTAGCCCATCAATAAAAAAAAAAACCTTACTAATATAATTGTCTACTCTTTGAAAAAGCAAAGAATCCAGTCATGCTATTTAAGACCGCCTTGAAGTGCAAAATACTTGACTGTCTTAATCTCAGTCATGTCCTCATTAATATGATGACATACTGAAAGCTAAGTTAGGCTCCACACATGTATTTTCACTGAACCTGTACATTACTCTATAATCTGTCTCCACGTAAGAAAAAGCAAAGTTTTGGGGTGTTTTCCACAGCCATAGACATGAAGAACAAAGACTATTTAATTGTTATAAAAATTTTCCTGGCAAATATTCCTTTAAAAAGAAAAAAGTTTTGACAGTCTCTCTGTTTCATGAAACATTCCAGACTCTTTTCTGCATTGTATTATTTACATTGAACTTTCAGTCTCAGGAAACAATGTCTGTTAATTTGTTAAAAACTACCCAAATAGACTAATATTACTGATGCTATAGTTTGTTTTTACCTAGTGTTTAACTGAACACTTGTGATTGAGCAAGAATTTGTTCTTTTCTTCCAAATAGTCAACACCATTAATAACTTTTCTATAACAGAGATGTGAATGTTTTCCTCCTGCTGAGACCCAGTCTCATGAATCCCCAGGCTCAGAACTCCTGTTTTGGCAGAACAGTCATCTGACTCCACTTGGCTATCCCATGCCCAGATCTCTTGGCAGTGACAGAGAGTAACCCTTGCTGGTACCTGTGAAAGGAAACAAAGGGTCTATTTTGAGTATGGTAGAAGATTAAAAAAAGAGAGACAGAGAAGGAACCCAATACTACATCTTCACATCTCAAAACATTCATTTTTTGGTTGTTTAAGAAATGTCCTGATACATTGGTAACATTAACATTAACATTTTAGGAGCCATTTTACAGCTGATTATAATTTTATTGGCTAAATCTATTACAACTACATTCAATGGCTTATTAGTGGTATTTGTAGTTTATTACTAACTTCATTATTTTTACCTCATCAAACAATGGCCACATGCCCACTAAAATTTTTAATAATATTCTGTAAACAGGAGAAGAGAATAAGGACTATTGACCATCTTGGATTATGTTTCATGAATCCAGAGACCTTGACTGTATAATTTTGAAAACTCCATTGTATCAGTTTAATTCAAGTGACCAATCTTTGCTGATTAGCATAAGCTTCTGTCACCAGAGTATGCCATTTCTAATCTTGGAAAGTTGGGAACCTGAGTCAGTAATTAGAAAGCCCCCTGGTGAGCTATGAATGGTGAAAAAATTATTGAAGAACGTTCATCCTAACTGGCAGAACCTGGACATTTGCCTATTACATTTGATGATATACCTTTCTGCTAAGTGCAGTTCTCTCCCAGCGTCATACTCTTTGGTATGTGAGAACTTTAAGTGCTATCATTAAATCTTGTTAATCTGTGTAACCTTAATTATTTCACTGGGTTTCCACTGACCTGTAAACAAATCTCATTCCAGTATCTGTCGGTCTCCTTGAAAAAGTTACTTAAAATCTCCTAATTTCAACTCTGTCTGTAAATATGGAAAATGAAAAGCTCAAACTATCTGGCTATAGTGTTTTTTGACTTTAGATGTTTCTGCATTCTTGGAATCACTATCAAAACAGAGTGGTGCACTGCTGAACGTTTCTTGCAAGTAATCAACTATTATCTCCTTAGCATATCCTGTTACCACATCTGAGGATGACACCAAGATGAAGTACTTCTTGTCAAGTCTAGATACAATTTGAGACAGGAAGTGAGGCTTTATGCCTGTCAGTCGGAGATAAATACTGCTTCAAGGACTTTCTTAAGTCCCATGAGAGATTCTTTCTCATTCTACTGGCCTCTCTGGTATGCACAAATTTCTGAAACAAAGTTTACCTCTAACAATGCTAAGACTGCAACAATTTAGACCAGTTGCTCTGGAAAGAATACCACCAATGAATGAGTTGACACCAACTCCTGCCTCAGTTCTCTAAGATAGATGACATTTGTATCCAAGTAGCTTATGTAAATTTCTCCCTTTTTTTTCCTTTATAAACTTCTCATTGCTTCAATCTCCTTGAATACATCAATAATTTATAATTTATCTTTGAATTGAATTTATAATTCAGTGTATAATTGAATAAACCCATAGATTACTGTGGCACACATTTTCTCATTTGCAACGCCTTGCTTCCCAAATAAATATAATTATTCTTTGGAGAATCTCTGTTATTTAAATTGGAAGAACCCATATTTTGTCCTTTGTTTGTTTTTATGTTTTTTCTTTTCTTCCTCCCTTGTTTTTTGTTTTGTTTTGTTTTGTTTTGTTTTGTCTTTTTTAAAGATTCATTTATTTGAAATACAAAGTTTTATAGAGAGGTAAGGGGAGAGACACAACGGCCAGGGCTGGGCCAGTCTGAAGCTAGGAGCCAGGAAATTAACCCAGGTCTCCCACATGGATACGGGGGCCCAAGGACTTGAACCATCTTCTGCCGCTTTCCCAGGTGCATAGACAGGGAGCTGGTTCAGAAGTGGAGCAGCCAGAACTTGAATCAGTGCCCATACAGGGAGCGGCTTTACTCACTACGCTACAATGTCCGCTCCTGCATATTTTGTCTTAGTCATGAAGGTTCTCCAAACACAGGGCTGTCCCAGAAGAATCTGCCAACATGATGCTGAATTTGTGTGAGTTACTAATTCTAATCCTCTGCAAGGAGGTAGCTGTGCTTGGAATGGCAGTTCAGAAGGGCATAGGATGTAAAACCCAGAGTTAGCTCTGGGTGGGGCAGGGGTCAGTAAAATGGCTAGTGAATATTAAGGAATTGAGAAATAAAAATCAGGAATTTGGGATGTTTTGAGAAACACACTGAACACACTCAAAACCAACACAACCTTAGATGTTTGCACTAAAAAAGAAAGAGAGCCAAGAAGAAGACATTCGTCAGGTCTGGGACTCACTCATTTCAATAATATGCCTGGCAGAGAAATCATTATCCATTTTGTAACACAGTCTTAGGGCAAGTCTGAGCAAGCTCTGAGTGGGCCAAAAAAAAAAAAAAAAAAGCTTCTCTAAACTGTCTCAGCTTGCCACCCCAATCCACACACATGCCCCTCACATGGGATGTTATTTCCTTTCTCGTCTCCTTCCTCCCTCCTCCCTCTCTCCCTCCCCTCCTTCCTTCCTTCCCTCCCTGACCCCTTCCCTCACTCCTTTCCTTGTCTCTTCCCTTCTCTCTCTTTTTCAGAATGATTTGTGCAAGTGTGGAATGTGTTTGTCAAATAACTATTAGGGTAAGAAAAAGAATGAGTCTTGTGATCGTCATAAGTGGTTGGACTTCCCCATCACCTCACTCATTTATTTTAGTTAAGTACTAAAACCTAGGTCTTTATTAATTTACAGTTCAAATATACATATGAGTAAATGTGTGTGTCTGTATATGCACACGGCAGTGTATATATTTGTGTGGGTCTGTGTGTGTATAAACACTAATGGATATTTTTCCAAATGAACTGATCATGACCTCTAACTTGTGGTTCAGAAGGAACTTTGTGTTCTACTTTTCCTCTGGAGAAATGAAAAAACTGCTAAGGGTGATGGTAGTAGTGGAATTGTGCATGTGTGAGTGTTAGGTAATATTGGGTGGAAAATTTAAGATTATTTTCCTTTGTAGTATTCCAAATACATCTGTTTATGTCATGGATAGTTACTTGAAATAAATATCTTTTTTCATGAGTGTTTTCTTAATTTTCAGAAAATGCTGCAAATGTTTCTCAATAAAGTCTTTAAACACACTTTGTTTAAATACCACTAATACTACAACTGAGCATTAACTCTGCCTGAACTTGTGTCCAGTACTTGACATTCTTAATCTCATCCTCATAACCTCAAAAGGTGAGTATCCCCAGAAAATTTTTTTTAAGATTTTATTTATTTATTTATTTGAGAGGTAGAGTTACAGGTAGTGAGAGGGAGAGGCAGAGAAAGGTCTTCCTTTGGTTGGTTCACTCCCCAGATGGCCGCAACAGCCAGAGCTGCTGTTGCCAATCCGAAGCCAGGAGCCAGGTTCTTCTTCCCAGTCTCCCATGCAGGTGCAGGGGCTCAAGCACTTGGGCCTTCTACTGCTTTCCCAGGCCATAGCAGAGAGCTGGATTGGAAGAGGAACAGCCGGAATTAGAGCCAGTGCCCACATGGATGCCAGCGCCGCAGGTGGAGGATTAACCTACTGCGTCACGGAGCCATTCTCCCAACCCCAGAAAATTAAAATGTGGGGATGCAGTGAAGTTTCCCTGAGTTATGGAGAAATAAATTGTATATAACTGTTGCTTAAACATAGACCTAACTAGCTCCAACCACTAGACACTTGCCATTGTGAAATGAAGGTATGAAGATACATGGCTTATTTCATAATTGTTCTCTTTTGATCAGGGCTTGTCTATAAAAATGTTTGATTTTGAGATCATTAATGGTTTATGTAAAGTCACTGGTAACTATTATTTTAAATAATCTTAGAATCAATCCAAACATACTCATGTAACATATACTGAAATTCTTAAGGAAGATTTTAGGATATAAGCAGGCCTCAGATACTGAATTATAATGACTATCTGGTTTTAAGGAGTGAGGTAGAATCACTTTTAAGAAACTAGACATCAGATAGCTTCCAAATATACACCTATGTCTGTACAATATTTATTTGTAACATTTCCTGAAATATAGCCTTTCTCTAAAACAAACAAACAAAAAGGTCTTTAGATCACAACTACCCAGGAACAAACATTCCTCACCCTTGTCCTTAAGGAATGAAACATAGATTAAGGATTTGTTAAGAAAATGTAGCTACATGCAGAAGAATAAAACTTGATCTTTCTCTCATCATGCCCAGAAATCAACACAAAACAAATTAAAGACCTAAATGTAAGACCCCCAAATGTTGAAACTACTATAAGAAACCATGTGGGAGATGCTTCAAGACATTGTAATGGGGCAACATTTTTTGGATCAGATCTCAAAAGCACAGAAAACAAAAGCAAAAATAGACAAGTGGTATCTCATCAAACTAAAGTTTCTGCACAGTAAAGGAAACAACCAACAGAATGAAGAAACAATCTACAGAATGGGCGAAAACTTTTCCAAGTTATACATCTGACAAAAGGTTAATATCTAAAATATGTAAGGAACTCAAACCACTCAATGGTTAAAAACCAAATAATCTAACTTAAAAATGGATAGTAGATTTAAACAGACAGTTCTCAAATGAAGACATACAAATGGCAAACAGATACATAAAAAGAATGCTCAATACCACTAGTCACTGGGGAAATGCAAATCAAAACCACAAAGAGACATCATCTCACCGGTTAGAATGACTATTAAAAAAAAGACAAAAGATGATAAGTACTTGTGAGGATACGGAGTAAAGGGGAACCTCACACAACTGTTGATGGGTATGCACATTAGGTACAGCCATTGGGGGAAAACAGCATAGAAATTCCTCTAGAAAGCTAAAAATAGAACTGCCATATGATCTAGAAATCCCACTATTGGGTATATATCTAAGGGATATGAAATCAGTCTGTTGAAGACACATCTACACCACCATGTTTATTGTAGCACTGTTCACAATAGCAAGAATTGGAAACAACATCCACTAATGAATGAATTTTAAAAAGATGAGATATTATCATTTGCAACAATCTGGATGGAACTGAAGGTTATGTTAAGTGAACTAAG